TTCTCTTTTCTATACATTCTCTTTCCTATAAGAAGGAAATAGGGTCGACCTCCCCCCCGGACTTAACGGTACTTTTTTGTCATAATAAAATGTACGTATGAGTATGTCCGCTTCCCCCCCGGATTTAACGGTACCTTTTTGTTCCCCGAATAAAATGTACGTATGAGAATGTCCCATCGTCCGTCTTAGATATGAATATGTATCATCCCAGCCAAAGCGTGATCGTCCCCTCTCACCCTTTTTCGTAAACACATATATATATATATATATATATATATATATATTATGCGTGCGCATTCGTTCATCTAAGCTCATCAGTTTCCAAGAATACTTCGCAATAAACGGAACGAAGTGCACACGAGCGCGTCGTCGCGCGCGCATGCGGAAGCCCGTCAAAATCTCTAAATGTCGTAAGAATGTCAAAACAGAGTGTCCCGAAAACATATAAGAGAACTGGTGTAGCAACAAGAATTGTCAAATAAAGCCTGCGGTTGCGTTCTTGCAGATTTCTTAGAAAACCATCAGTTGTTCAACATGCTCATCCCATGCTACCAAACGTGCCTCTCGCGCGCGCATGTCGAAATCACTCGAACGCGCTTCCACGCGTGCTGTCGCAATAGCCTGTTGCAACAAATGGGATGAAGTGCACACGCGCGCGTCGTCGCGCGCTCAAGCGGAAGTCTTTCGATCTGTTTTAGGTTTCAAATCAAGCGCCCGGAAAGTGTATAAACAATTTACGGTTTTGCAATTTCAGTTGTCAAAATTGTTTGCGTTCGCGTTGCTTCGCTCGCGTTCGGTTTTTCAACATGTCCATTAAGTTCGGCCAAACAGGCCTGTGGCGCCGCATGTCGAAATCATTGGAACGCCCTTGCGCGCGTGCTGGGGGGCACGATCCGTGTCAAATAATACATTGCGGGCCATTTTCGCGCGTCGGCCGCGCGCGCATGTCGAACTCCTTCCAAAGATTTCATCACCGACGCGAGGACGCCGTCATCGTCGTCGGCGTGATCAGCATCAGCGCCGCCACTTGCCTTGCCGCCATCGTTGCCATCATCGTCATCAGCGTCGCTACTACCGTTATCGTGTCTACCGTTGTCGACGTTGGCATGATACCGCGCCCGCCCAAGCCGCCGACTCGCACTGAAGAGCCCGCTGGGAAGTGCCCAGCGGTCGTCGCCACCGCGGCCGCAAAGATGCACCAGCCAACGCAAAGCACTCACCGCAAGCGCCGCCGCATGGGTTCTGCAAACCAGGTTGCGGGTGGGTGGGTGGGGTGATTGCGCGAGCAGCGGGATCAACAACCCAGCGCGAACACAAATTATGATTCACACATCGGTTCCACCACCGAGCTTGCACCACAGATATGGCACCATATTATAGCTTGCATTACAGATATGGCACGGCATGGCATAGGTGACAACATATAGAGTGCCCGACATCACATCACAAAAACTGCAGCACCTAGATTGCACCAGGTCGCATGCAATGCATAGTTTGCACCGCATAGACCGCGCCGCGCCAGTTGCATTACATAATTTGCACCGCACATCAGCTTTCCTCCGGGTTCTCGGTGCACCTTGTGGTAGCCAATTAACACATGATTGTGAGCGATTGTTCATTTCCCAGATGAATACATACCATTCCGGGACGGCCCGGTATTGAACCCACCAACGTTTGCACATTCAAAATGGCGCGCGCACGTGCGCTAATCTTCTAAGACCAGTGTTAAATAACCCCTTTTGCGAAGCAGATCGTCACGCAGTCCACACGCGCGCGGCGCACATGTCGAAATCACAAACAAAAAAACACGCCAAGTATGCAAGCAATGTGTTATAAACGCATCAAAGATTCGAAGCCCTTCGGCTTTTCATTCCACTCCGCAGATTGCAGAGAGTGTGTACCCGCGCGCTCTTGGTTTAATCATGAGATCGCCATCTGCTGCAAACAATGTCATTCAGAAACCGCATTCTCATCTCACCATACTGCTCATCTGCGTGAGTCTAGCGTGCGCCCAGTACACGATTCCGTATATTCGAATACCATGCGGTCCTCGCGCGCGCTGCCACGCTTGCGTGCCGAAGTATACCTGAAACGTTTCTGCCTTTCGGAGCAGTTCATGACAGGGCTCTGCAGAAATAGCCCGACGAAGGACCCAACCATAAGCAGATGTAAGTATCGCAAGACAAGTGGGAAAAAGGGAAGGGGGCTAGCAAAAGGACTAACGTACGTGAGAATGACAGCGCGGCGTTGCTGCTCATGTCGCGGAGGTCGGCCGTAACGGATTACATAGACCGTCATGGTTGGTCTGCGCGTTTGTCGGCGCGGTTTGGGGGAACAGCAGGCGGCGGGGTTTTCGGTGGAGCACCTTCTGGTTCCACGAACGGAGTGAGGGGTGTGCCGAGTTGGGCGCGGTCACGCATGCGATTCCTGCCGTTGGGGCCTTCGGTGGAACTAAGCTCCCTGTGGGGCCACGAAACGTCTGCGGGGTGCGCCGAAACGGGCGCGGTCGCGCATGCGATGTTCGCCATTGCGGGCTACGATGGAGCTCCTTATCGGGCCACGAAACGTGTGAGGGGTCTGCCGAAATGGGCGCGGTAGCGCATGCGTTTTTTGCCATTGGGTCTTTCGGTGGAGCTCCCTATTGGGCCACGACACGTGCGGGGGGGGCCGAAATGGGCGCGGTCACGCATGCGTTTCCTGCAGCTGGGGTCCTCGTTTGGGCTCCCTGTTGTGAGGGGTGTGCCCGCATGGGCGTGGTCACGCATGCGATTCCTGCCACTGGGGCCTTCGGTGGAGCTTTCCATTAGGCCGCGAAGCGTGTGAGGGGTGTGCCGGCCGGCATGGGCGCGGTCACGCATGCGATTCTTGCCATTGGGGCCGTCAGAGGAGCTCCTTATGGGGCCACGGATCCTCGGAGAGGTGTGCCGACGTGGGCGCGGTCACGCAAGCGATTCCTGCCTCTGGGGCCTCTGGAGGAGCTCCTTATGGGGCCACGAAACGTCTGAGAGGGGTGTGCAGGCATGGGCGCGGTAATTGGAACTTCTGGTGGGGCTCCCCATGGGGCCACGAAACGTGTGAGGGGTGTGCCGAGATTGACGCGGTTTGGCATGCGATGCCTGCCATTGAGGCCTTCGTTGGGGCTCCCTACGGGGCCACGAAACGTATGAGGGGTGTGCCGAAGAAGAGGCATGCGGAGGGCAAGGGCAGGGATGGGAGGAGGGGGGGAGGGCAACAGGAGGGAGACGAGCGGCGCTGTCTCTTCAAAACGAGTACCCAACACCACAGGATGTTTGTGAAGAACTTTTTTGATAAACAAAAAAGAATGGCTTTTAACAAAAATGGGCCCGACGTTCTTCCTCACCATCGCCCGCATCAGCGCCGTCGCATCACCGCCGCTACCGTCATCGCCAATCGCCGCCATTACCGCCACCACCAGTCAACCTCTTTCATCACCGGCACACGGACATCATCATCATCATCGTCATCGACGTCACCGGCATGGTCGCCGTGAACGGTCTTGCCGGAGCCATCGTCATCATCGCCACCACCATCGTTACCATCATCATCGTTGCCGCCGTTGCCGTCATCATCATGATACCACGCCCGCCCGCGTCACCGACCCGCACTGAAGTTCCCGCGCGCCAACGCGGTCATGAAGACGCATTGGGAAATTCATATCCGTGAGCGCCATCGCGGCCGCATCGGCTGTACCAAACCAGCTGTCCTCTCTGCGCGCGAGCTTTCGCGCGCTAGCGCACCCGAAGAGGTGCGCCAGCCACTGCTAATCAGTCATCGCAATCGCGGCAGCGTGGATTTTGCACAACGAATTGCGGGCGGGAGGGTGGGGTGACGACTACAAGTACTGCAAGGTGAATTGCACCGTATAGCTTGCACCACTTATCCTGCAATCTTGCCACACATCAACTGCACCAGACAAAGACTGCGCCACATTGGCTGCATGCCGAGAGTGCATGAACCCTCTGTTTGGGGCTCACGGTGGCAAATATGTTCAAGCGATACCAAAAAATGCGGCAGCACATAATTTACCTTTGGGGCTAGCCCTCACAGATGCCAACCCAACCCAAAAGGCCCCCAAGAGATTCTGAGCTCCTGGGGTTATCTGGCAGCCTGTCGAGATCTCGCGCCCAAACCACCCCCCACAGTCCTCTGAAGAAGTGACGCGAGAGCGCCCAGGAACCTTCAGGGAACACCGTGAGTTGGGGGCCTGGGGCTTCTGCAGGAGCAAGGGCCGTGCTCAACGCCGAGAACCCCGATGGAGCCCGAAGACACTCCACCTCGGTGCCTGCAGCACGACGGCGGACATGGCCCTTGTCCACAGATCGTCTCCGCGCACCAGACCACCCCAACCCAACCCGAAGGTTTCCATTTGCCCTCCATTTCCAGTTGGGGGGGGGGGTTCGGGGAGCATCGAGAAAACACGTATGGAACCCGTACCCCCCCGACCCAAAATTCGGGTCTTCGGGTTGGATTGAGGTGGTCTGGCAGGCAGTCAGATCGGGCCCCCGCCGGGCCGCCGACCCCCACCAGTTCTCGCGGATCGCTCGGGGCACGGGGCGCCCTCGATCGGTGGGGACACGGTGCCCGGGGCCCGTCTGGGTCGGGGCCAGGCCCGCCGTGGCCTCCGAGCGCCCCGACGCCCGCCGGTCTGATTTTTGTTACGCCCGCGGCCCCAAAAGGCTCCCGGCCACTCGCGCTGGGCCAGGCTGTCGCCCCGGATCCAGTCTTGGTACAGTCGGGGCCCTGAAGAAGGAGCCCTTTTCGTTGGGGAGGGGCTCGGTGTTCCTTGATTGGGCTGCAGTTTGCCTGCTGTTTTCCTGAGGTTTTCCATGGGGAATCGAAGTTCAACGTATGGGAGAAAGGGGCCCCGTTCCTTGTTTAGGGTTCCTTTGGTCAACGCCCCGACTAGTCCCGGCCCCCGAAGCCGAGATCGAGGAAGCGCTGCCAGATGTGTAAGAAGCATCTCATCGGAGATCGGTGAGGTCATGCTGCTCGGGCCCCCGGCCGCGGGCAAGAGCTCCATCAGCCGGCTGAAGGCGGACCAGTTGTCCAAGGATCTGGTGAAGACGGCCCAGTCCCTGCAGTACCGCGAGGAGGTCAACAACGACAACCTCACGGACTGCATGCCGGGCTTCTCCGACGAGTACAAGCACGTGCTGTCGATCAAGGCGAAGCAGAAGACCGGCAAGTCCCTGTGGAAGAAGGCTTCCTCTGTTCCCGTCGAAGGGCAAAACATTACATGAACATGCACTTTCGCAGCTCCGCGCGGAATCTTTGGGATCGGCTCGCGGAGCGGCCAGGGGCCGCGCCGCTCACGCCGCCATGGGGGCCTCCCAGGAAGCCGCGCAGGACTCCACAAGTTTGTGACCATGCGGTGTTGGCGTGTGCCTCCCTGCTTTCCCTTCTGACTACCCCAGACATGATCGCGTCGAAAAAAAGTCAGAACGGGAGGTTTTTGAGTATTTTCCTCCCCGGGGGGCCCTCGCCAGGCCTCGGGACCGTCAAAAAACGACTCAGGACGAAAAACCGGTCCCGGGGAAAGGGTCGGGACTTCCAGGGACGCCGTCCTGAAATAATCAGGACGTCGCATTTCTGGGACCACATCGTTTCTCCTCCTCCCTCCTCCTGAGGCCACCACCGGCGTGAAGGTTGGGAAGGTCGGGGACAGGAAGCCCAACTCGAACAGCGCCGCCATGTGGCAGTGGCTCAAGATCTCGATAGAGGAGGGCGGGGCCTTCGCTCCTCCTCATCCTCATCCTCCTCCTCCTCCTCCTCCTCTTCCTCCTCCTCCTCCCCCTCCTTAGGCAAAAGGAGCGGCACGAACATAAACTATCGGAGGTCCGCCCGGACTTCTTGGATCGGCGCTAGGCCCCCCCCCCTGGCAACGCCTCCAGCGTCGCCCCTGGCGCCCTTCCGCGCCAGGGCGGGGGGGGGGCCCTAGCGCCGATCCAAGAAATCCGGGCGGACCTCCGAAAGTGTACGTCGACGGCGCATTGTCGTCTTCCACCCGGAGAGGAGAATCTGTCGGCGGAGCTGTGGGCGCTGCAGTGGCTGACCTACCTCGTGTACCACCACGGGCCCGTTCGCGACTCCCTCGCGCTGGACATCATCAAGGTCACCGTGACAGACGCCCACGAGCTCCCCGTGTACTACTCCTCGTGCATGGCGGGCAAGGCCAGCCGGCCCGCAGGAGGGAGGGCGGGGCGGGGCGGGGGTCGCCTTCTTGAGAGGCGATGGGCACTCTCCCGTGGCCGCCCCCCCTCGCCCTGGCCATATCTCAGAATGCAACCCCTGTGAGGTTAAAGTCATCATCGGCGCTGGTACTTTTTTGGTCTGCGGGGCGAGAGCGAACCTCTTCCGGTAAAAGCTGGGCGGGCTACGCACAGTTCTAACTGGGGAGACAGGGCACAGGCGGGCGGGGCCTCAGGCGGCCGGAGGGCGGGCCGGGGTGCAGGCGGTGCCGAGGAGCTTGCACAGGAGAAAAGGAACGGCGCTGGCACCTCCGTGGTCGAAAACGTGCCAAGTGCCGCGCAGTCCCGCTTGATTCCGTTCAGTCCCGTTCAATATGGTTTAATGTGGCCGAGTTCTGGGCTTCATCCCAGGCTTCCTCCGGCTTCATGCCCCCCTACTCGAGTTCCGTAGCCCTGAGTTGATCTTACGAAGACATCCCAGGGATGGGATTATTGCGAGGGCCTTAAGGCCAGTGCCGCCGACCCTGAAGGGCGACGACGACGACGACCACCACCACCACCACCACGACGACGACGACGACGACGACGATCACGACGACCGCGACGGCGACCACGACCACGACCACGACCACGACCACGACGAGGACGGCGTCCTAACATGTCTGCGCTCCGCTGAAAGGCGATGGGGCGTGCCATGATGATTCTGGACCTGGCCCACTCGGAGACGAAGCCCATCGCGCACAAGCTGCTCCCCTTCCGCGGCTTCTGGCCCTACACCTCGCAGGAGCCCGGGGGGGAGCAGCGGAGCACTGGCGAACGGGGAGCACGCGTGCACCGAGCTTTGCCGCGGCGAGTCCCGCCTGCGTGCCAGCGGCCCAGGCCTGTTGGCGTCGCGAGGGAAGCACGACGGAGTTCGGGTGCAGATCATTGGAGCCCTGCAGGTCCTCGATGTTGTCTTCAGCTTGCACTGGCATGCGCCAGCGCTTGGCAATCGACGGGAGAGCGCCGATTTAGCGTCGATTTGAACCGATTTGGGGTCGATCAGCGTCGGCCAGCGTCGATTCGCAAGAGCCAGCAAGACGGCATGGGAGGTCCCCATGAGTTGCCACCGAAGGTCGGTGTTTGCCGCTTTCGGCCTCCGGGGGGGGGGGCCCTCGCCGGACCTTGGGACCGTCAAGAAACGATTTGGGATGAAGGACCGTTCTTGGAGGCAGGTTCACCTACGGAAACCTTGTTACGACTTCTCCTTCCTCTAAGTGATAAGGTTCACTAAACTTTCCACAAGCAGGTCCAGGAACTGGACACCGCAGCAGTCCGAATTATTCACCGGATCACTCAATCGGTAGGAGCGACGGGCGGTGTGCACAAGGGACTCCACACTGAACAAGCCAAGGCGTCGGACGTACGGCGGCAGGCTGTTTCGAGGCAGCGCGGCGCAGCCCCCGGCGCCAGCACCCTCGGGGCGCTGCCCCCCTGCGGAGAGGTCTGGGCCCCGAGCCGCTCTGGACGGAGCGTCGGGGGCGGCGTCCCGCGAGGGCGTCCCAGCCGGCGTCTCTGCCGGCGCTGTTGGAAATGAGGGCCACCGGCGCAGGGCGCGCAGGCACGTGGAGCACGTTGGGGCGGGCGCGCGGTGGCCTCGCAGGCTGCGCCCCGTCGCCCCCGCGCACCGAGAACTTGGCTGCCGGAGCGGCCAGCGGCAGTCCGAGGGGGCAGCCCGCCACAAGCGCGCGCCGCCTCCCCCCCACCCGCCCCCCCCCCCCCGAGACGCGCGCGCCGCAAAGCTGACCGGGGCGAGCAGCGACGAAGGCCCTGGATTCAGCTGTGCCTTGCATTCCGGGGGGGGGAGGGGGGGGGGAGGGAATGCAGGACGCATAGGCGTCGCCCGAATGATGCTGATCAATCGTGATGATGGTGGTATGAATGATGATATTGGAGATGTTGATGATGATGATGATGATTACCACGATGATCATGGTGATGCTGATTCTGACGATGATGATGAGCATCATCGTCGTGAGCACCAATACCATCATGAACATGGTCGTTCTGTTCGACAGCACCGGTGGGGGCCATGGCGGACCAGAGTTGGCCCGTCGTGCGGTTGTTTTCGGCCGTTTCGGACCATTTGGGGGGTATTTGGGGGGATGTTTCGCAGGCGCACAACCGTATGACCCTTCTGAGTCCGATTTGAAAGCACCCGTCTGCTGGAGGACGTGCAGGGGAGTGGGGCGGCGGGCATCTGATACATTAGCCGTGGTCAGTTGTTTCTGCTCTTTCGTGTCACCCTCGCAAGCACGATTAGTTCTCGGTCACCCAGGGGGCCGCAACCTAGGGGGCTTCGCGCGCCCACGTCTCCCAAAAACTGCAGCAAGAGGGCGCGATGATGACAGCGGCCCGAAGTTGGGCGACGTAGTGCCAAGTCGGGCCCGTCCCTCTACAGGAGGAAAGATTCAAACATAGCAAAGAATAGTCGGGGGACGATTTGTTGAATGTTGGGGTATTTTGATTTTTTTGAAGTATGTTTTATGTTTCGCCCACAACCCCCTGCAGGGAGACACGCCCGAGCTAAACGTAGTGTTTTCATCCAGGCAGCCCTCTCGTCTCTCGTCCTTGCCCCTTCAGCACGTGGACGTCCCTGTGGGCACTGCGTGCATCCTCGGGCAAAAAGAGCTGCCGTTTCTCTCCTAAAGGAGGCCCGGTTCGACAGGCAGGCGGGCAGGGCCAGGAAGGAGCAGGAGGAGGGGAAGCTGCTGGGCGGGAACCTCACGTCGAACCTCGTGGACATCCACTACCACGCGCAGCAGGCGGAGACCAACATCACGAAGCTGCTCGGCTGCCTCCGGAAGGGAGTCAGGGCAACCGACAGCAGTTCCTCGTCGTCCGACGAAGAGGGCTGCTGTTCCAAGGGGGAGCGCGCGAGCTCAAAGGAGGTCGCGGAGGGCGTCCGGCAGAAAACCCACGTAAAAGTCGACCATTTCTTAGTCATCGACAACGAGGGAAAGGAGCCCAAGGTGCTCATCGATTTTTCCAGCGAGTCTGGGAGCATCGACGTCGAGAATATCAAGCGGGAGCTCAAGGCGGCTGTAGAGAAGGCCATGACGAGCAATGGGCTCATGCTCTTCCTCCCCCTGTTTGGGGAGGTTATCATCTCCCTCCTCGTCCTCCTCTTCCAACACGTTCGGGACCGGTGGGTGTATCACTCTCCAGCTGAGGGCACCCCACTTGGGTTTTGGACTCCGTTGGTCTACGCCCACGCAGCGACCAGTGCAATGGGTCATGTTGAGGCCATCCAGTCTTGCTATCCTCCGTCTGACTTGGAGTCCCCAGCGTTTCTGGGTCTTGGTCCTGGCCATCCTCCAGAACTCGAGGAATATATCATTGAGCCGCTGCACTGACATCATGCCTCTTAGGTCCGCGTAGACCGTCGAGAAATTATGCTTCAACGGTTTGTTTGTTCCTCTATACAGTCAAAAGCAATTGTAAGGACGATCGACCTCCCAAGGGTAGCCTTGCATCCGTGCCTCTTCGGTCCTCTTCGGTCCATCCTCAACCACCTTCGATGGCCAGCCCCACTCGAAAAGTTTCGGACATGAGCGTCCAGGGCCCTTGCATCCGCATCGTGCATCCTCACTATCAGTTTTGCCCGCGGCCCTCCTCCAGCACCTCGTCCACCTCCGCTGCCATGTCCTCTTCCCGCCCGCCGCCCTCCTGCCGCACGCGCGGCCCTGCCTGGGAGAGGCCGCGACGAGCAGCCGCCTGTTCGAGAAGGAGTGGGACGCATTCGACCCCTACCTCTTCCGGGTGCTGTATGGAAGACGCCTCCGGCGATCCATCGCCGCCCGCTGCCCCTCCCGGAGGCAACCACGTTACCCCAGCGCGAAGGCGGCCGGGCGCGGCCGGCAGAGACGCGTGTGCCCTTCTCGGTCTGGGTCGGGGGCCGCGGCCCGCAGGCCGGCGGGGTTCTTGAGGCTCTCTCAGGGCCCGTGATGTGCTTGCTGGGTGATCGGGAGGGTCCCCGTCTGTCTGCGTGGTGCAAGCCGCAGAAGTCATGACCTCCTCCTCTGCTCACACAGCTGAGCAAATCTAGTGCACCGTGTGCTCCCCGAGTGGTTGCGGAAGCGGTGCGTGCAATCTGCTGTCTCGCTCAGGCTCTGGGGCACTCTTGGAGGGGACCCTAAGGGCCATCTTGCGGGCTTCTTGGGGCGTCTTGAGTGCATCTCGGGCCATCTCGGGGGCCTCCCGGAGGCGCCTTGGGGCACCTCAGGGCTGGTGTCCACAACTGAGGGCGCGAATGTTGACAGCACTGGCGCGCCCGAGGGTGCCGCCTTGGTGCCAAAACGGCCGCTCGTGGGAGTTCTGGCCTCACTCTCCCGCCGGCGCGTCCACGTTCGTTGCCAGGTCGAGTCGGGGCTGTCGCCGTGGTGACCCTCGCCGGGAGGGGGGGGGGGGGCGTCGGGACTGCGGGGTCCTCGGCGGTCGCCTCCTTCACGGCCAGCTCGTCTGAGCCGCCGTCGTTCCCTTCCTGCTCGTGCTCCTTTCGCTGGCGCACGCGTCGCGGCCACCTCCCTGTCTTCCTCGCTCCCTCCCACAGCCTGCGCCACGACGCCGCCAGCCCACCGCGCGCACGCACCCTTTGGTCGTCGGCGGCGCCACTTGGGTCCGAGTGGAGGCCAGGCTGCGGCAGGGCTGCGGCAGGGCTGCCGCGCGGACTCGGCGCAGAGGCGGCAATGGGAGGCGCGAGGGAGGGGAGGGCAGGGCCGCAGACGGCCAGAGCGCCCTGGGAGCAGGAGGCACTTCGGGCCGTGCCGGCGCAGGCTGCGCTCCTCGTGCTCGTCAGTGCGTCCGCGGCGGCGCAGCCGCGCGCACCCACACGATGCGCCGAGGCCGGGGCGCGGCGCACGGGATGGTCCCCCTCCTCCTCTTCCTCCTCCTCCTCCTCCTCCTCCTCCTCCTCCTCCTCCTCCTCCTCCTCCTCCTCCTCCTCCTCCTC